CCCGAAGGCTGTCTCTCTATGATGCTGGTGTGCTCCTGAAGGGGATCCTGGGGCCCAGCCCCTCCTCTCTCTACTTGCTTTCTGGTGAGTAGCTTCCTCTATTACACACTCCTGCTAGGATGGGCTCTGTGAGCCCAAAGCAACAGAGCCAACTGCACGTGGGCTGAAAACTCCAAAACTGTGAATCAAATTAAAGCTAACTGTTGTATAAACTGATTACTTCAGGTATTTTCTTACAGTAATGGAAAGCTGAGTAACACATTTGATAGCACTTACTTGCTTCTTCTTATAAAACAGGATACCAACACACAGACTTAGTGATTCAATGGAAAGATGGTTTCAAAAAACGGAGAAAGGGATCAGGAAAGAGGGATAAAGTCTCAGACTGGAAGAATGCATTTTAATTATCTGCATGGTGACCACAGTTAATGTCATATATTTCGAAAGAGCTGCATGACGATTAATTTTGCTTGGGGATGGGGGCTAATTGGGATCTTAAAAGAACTCAAATCTGCAAATACTCCTCAAAATGGGGTTTATAATATTGTACTTTAAAATAGGAAATAAAATAGGAAATAAAATTTTCAAATTCTCTACTCTGATCAAAATACCTGGAGGCATATTCTGCTCATCTCTCTACTGAATGAAGCTATAAAATCTAGACAAAATTGGACAAAATGAGCAGTATCAGGGATGCCTCACCATGCCCAGGGCTGAAGTAACCCAAATCTCACAGAAGGCATCAGTACAGATGCCTTCCAGCTTTGCCTATGGGGTACAAGGATGACTGTATCTTTCCTCCCCTAAAGGTACACAGACAAAACCCGAGTTTCCTTCTTTCTTCCACTTTCTTCCTCTTCTTCCTTGTCTTGCATGCAGCGCTACAAATGTGGAGGTGGGTGGAGGTGAGAAGGGGACTGCAGGAGCACAACACTGGGAAGAACCTGTGTCTGTGATCAGAAGAGCAGGTCCAATAGGTGGCTGAACCCCACTGGTTGCTTTTTTTCCCTCTGTCCTCCAACTGCCTGACATAGTCAAAGTGAACAGGAAGTAAAACCCAAGGTTTGAGGCTGCAGGACTGAAATGAGAGCCCCAGGGAATTGAAAGTACTGAGAAGATGGTAAGGAGGGAGGAACTCCAAGAAGTGATCAGTAGGGTTGTTTACAAACTCGCAAGACCATTTATGAGCTATGCACCTGTAGCTCTGCCCCCAAACAGATATTGAGAACAGAACTACAAAACAGATCCAGGTACCAGATTGGCCACACCGAGGCACACATGGGACAGATCTGGACAGCATTACAAAGGCTTGGGAAGCAGAAGAGACATCAAAAACACAAACACAAGGGACTATTGGGAATTTGCAGCATCAACCAAGAGGTCAATTGCCTGCTAGAAAAATAGCAACATTCCCTACAGGGGTTAAACAACACCCAGAATCTCATAACCAACATAAAATATTTAAAATCTCCAAGGTGCAATCAAAACATCCTTAACATAAAGAAGACCCAGACAAATCTCAAATAATTGATATATGTTAACAAGATGTTATAGATGTTGCAATTATCTGGCAAAGACTTCAATACAGCTGTTATAAAGATGTTCCAACAAATAATGATAATCAGTGTGGAAACAAACACAAGGATTGTGCCTCAATGACATGAAAGCGATAAAAAAAGAGAACTTAAATTTGAGAATGAAAACACCTAATAATTGAAAGAAAAACCTCTATGGATGGGACCATGAGCACTATGGAAGTGGCAGAGAAATGTCAATAAAAACTAGACTCTGAAAAGAAAGAAGGAAAAAAAGAAAGAAAAAGAAAGAAAGAAAGAAAGAAGAAAGAAAGAAAGAAAGAAAGAAAGAAAGAAAGAAAGAAAGAAAGAAAGAAAGAAAGAAAGAAAAAAAGAGAAATAAGAATATTTTAAGAGTTCAAAGAGATAATCAATTCACAGGCACTGCTCTTAAGAACGCGTTCCAGAAAACAGCTTGGCAGTTTCTCTTAAAGCTGAGTGCACACTTATCTCTGAGCAATCCCACCCTGGTATTCACCTCGGAAGAGAAAGGAAAACTTAAGTTCTCACAGAAGCCTGTACATATACACTAATGCTGCTATACCTGTAACTGCCAAAAAATAAAAAACAACTCAATTGCCCTTCAACAGGTGAATGGATAAGCACACTGTGATACATCTGTACAGTGGAACGCTACTCGACAAAAAAAAAGAATAAACTACTGAGGCTTGCAACAACTTGGACATGTGGCAAAAGCATTCAGTTAATTGGGATTTAGGGGAAAAAAATACCTGTAGCTTAGATAATTAAATAATATATGATTCCATTACATGACATTCTTTAAAAAACAAAAATTGTAAGAACAGAGGACATATCCCTGGTTGCCACAGACCACTGTGGGGAATAAAGGTGGCTGGAGGAAGGCCCAGGAGGCAGTTTTGTGGGACACAAGAGCCAGTCTATATCCTGACATTAGACACACAATTCTGTCTTAAATTCACAGACCTGTACACAAAAAAGTCAATTTCACCTTGTTAACTTAAAATCTAAAGGCAACTTTAAATCTTTCTTAGGGGTTTATTTTAAAGAACTAAACATTCATAAAAAGTTATATCAGTCATGTATCTTATTCCCTGGGGATCAGAGACAGCCTACTGCCTCCTGAGATTTAAGAATGCTTGTCACATTTTTTAATGGTTGAAAACAGTATCAAAAGAGGATTTTGTGACACAGTAAAATTGCATGACTGTGACAAGGTTCTCATTGAATCTATCATTTACATATTATCTCTGGCTGCTTTTATACCACAGAGCACAGCTGAGTGGTTGGAACAGAGATGGTATGACCTGCATAGCCTAAATTATCTGGATCTGGTCCTTTATGGGAAGGGATTGCCAACCATGATCTAAGTTATTACTCCAGTGATTTAATATTTCTTGCTTGATTCCCTACTGCCTAAATAGTGGAACATTATAATCTAACAAAAGCTCACGTTTTAAAACCAAGGAAATCTGTTCAGGCTTGAGCAGAGGGGCAGGGATGCCGACTGCCCCGAGTCAGGGTCCAGCTGTCTGAGGACAAGGATAATCAGACTTGGTCTCCACAGCAAACTTCCCTGGGACAGCAAAACACAAGGGTTTCCACATCCAAGGACTTAACAAAAAATATGAGAGATATATTTCACCTTTCACTTATTTTCAGGGTTCTATCCATTCATCAACATCATTAGCCTTTCAATTTCTAATCACATGTATCCCACATCACTTTCATGAGACAATGAGCTTTTCTGATTTTGAAAGCAATTAAGGATCAAAAGTAATTGTTAAATACTGAATAAAATACTAAATGCTAAAAGCAATGAAAAAAGAAACCCTCCTATTTCAACAAAGCTAGAATGCATTACTTCATAAACTTGCACAGGGCCCTGTACTGCAGCTATGGCCCTACTTTGGAAGTACAGACTGAGCTAGTGCAAACTTCTTTTATATGCCTACGGTGAATATTTATCCAAGAGACACCCACAGGCCAAAAGAACTCAGGTGGTGTCATCTTTTAGTTTCTGAGATGCTAACTGAAAGTGGTATTTTTTACACATCAGTCAAATTATTGTTTAAAGCACTGCTTTCCAGAAAGAAGCAGAGACATCCAGGTTTAAGGTCTCTACTGGCCAAAGTAGCTGTCCACCAAGATCTTTCAGGCTAAGAAACAACAGCATGAGGTGGGTATCCTGAGGGTCCCCGAGGATCTCACAGGCTGCCTCCCCTGCTGGCTCGCCTATGGACAGCCTCACTTTCTGTTTATATGCTGGTCTCCTCCCATGTGCATAACAGCTGTCCACTATGCACATATCACTCTGTGTGAGTGTCCTTCCTATCTAAACCATTACCTGTCTTGCTCTCTCTTCTATCCATCTTCCTCATCTTGCTGTTTACTGACCATAAGGCATCACAGTGAAGCACTGGACAAAAGTTGTTTGAATGAATGAAAGAATCAACTTGCAAACTGAAAGATTGTGTTTATGTGCTATAACATTGCAGATGTGTATTTGCCTATTTGAAAGGGACTTTATATTCAGTTTTGGGTTTATAAACTCACAACAAGCCACATTTTCTAAAGAAGGCTACATTTTCCATCTCAAATATCCTTCTGTGGGGTGTCCCTGATGCTCCCCATCAGGGGCTGGAGTCTATCTCCGCACCCTTTGAATCACAGTGGGTTCTGTTATTGTTTCAGCATATGTAACACTCAGGACTGGCCCCAAGTCAGTCCTAAATGAAGGCTGTAGCTGCCTTAAAAACACTAGCACTCAGAAGAGTTCTACTTGAAACCCAGCTACCATGTTGTGAAGAGGCCAAGCCCAATGGAAATCCTACATATATATGTTCTCAGGGAGAGCGATTCCCCTCTCAACTCAGGCCAACAATCAGCACTGACCACATCAGTGCACACCTCTGACATCCAGCCAAGTAAAGTTCCAGATGCCATCAGCCCCAGCCAACATCTTACTAGAGCCACCTAAGAGATCCCAAGTAAGAATTCTGTCAACCTTTCAAGAGCTACATTATGTAAAAGATCATTTTCCCCCCTACATAGTAGTGTTTTGTTACTAGCAATAGGTAATAACAGAATAATTCTATTAAAAAATATTCAATGTTTATTTAACCCTTATTTGTTTTTCTTTTCTTTCCTTTCTCTTTATCTCGGGAATATAGTCAACACAATAGAGAGTTTTCACTACACTGAGGCAATGGAGTTGGTAAAGTTCCTGGCTGGAAACTCTTATACAAATGCACTTGGAGTTACAACTCTGGGTTAGCTCTGTTCATCCTGGAGTCCACCTTGTCATTTTGAGGATGACTTGCCCCAGGTGAGATGTTATTCTTTCTGACATATGCCAGTGAACCAAGATCTCCAATGGATCCAACAATGTTTCCTCCTCCTTTCACGAAGACTTGGTGGACATCAGGTGAGATGCACATCACACAGTCACAATCAACTCTATGTTTATTGGCACAATAAGGTCACTAGTGGGTCAACTCTTCTTTCAGCTCACTATTTCCAGCTTTTACTTTTGGGCCAGTGTGCTTAGGCCAGTGTATTAGGTGTTCCTCATATTGTGCGTTGCTTAGGAGGCAGCATTGTCTGTAATCAAAACACCGGGGCATGCATTTCATTATGTAACCTCCAATGCTAGAAGTAAAGACATATGATGAACAAAAATGCCCTGCTAAAATTTTCAGTATAAACCAGGAAATGAGGCTCAAAGCAAAGTGACAACACGTGTTGGCAGATGCGTAGGAACAGGATGCTCTGGTCCTTGACACACCAAGAAAAACTAAGATCACCTTGGTGTCAAGCCCTGTATAAAACAAAAAACTAGGTCCATGCAGGACCACAGGGCAACCGTCCCCTTGACCACGGCATGACATATATTTTACTCTGTAAGAGAACTTTAGTAGAATTTCCCTGAAATTCTTTTTTTTTTTTTTTTTTTGGCTTTTTTTCTGGTACCGGGAATTGAACTCACAACATTGTGCTTGCCAGGCAGGTGCTGTGCCACTGAGCTAAATCCCTAGCCCCTTTCCCTGAAACTCTTAAAGTTCACAGAGACTTCACTATCTAATGTTACTGCCATCATCATTGCTGGCATCATCCTATTCTCCTTCAATTCCATGGGCTTTGTCCCATCAGTGCCCTCTGCCTCTGTAGATTTGGTTCACTCCTCTAGATAAACAACAGAAAGGTTGTACTTTTCCCCTCCACTCATCATTTAATACTTAGACAAAACTGCTCACCAGTTCCTTGTACCTGGCCCATCTCCCCTTGTCAGTCATTGGAAGCTCTCTGAAGAATCATTCAAAAGCCACACAGGGGGCACAGACTGTAACAAAGTCCTCTCTGTTGCATCAGAGCAACTTGTGATGTGCATCTGACCTGGGGCAGAAATGTAGTCCACCTCTGCATGGACACGCTGTGCCCAGCCCAGCACAATGCATGGCTGCACCGACAGCACTGTGATTTATCCCACTTGAGCAGCTGCATCTCAGGTCAACAGCCACGCTCTCCATCCAGATTCTTTCATAAAGACATGTCTTCAGGGGAACTTCTTCCTCTGAAAACACAAGCTGTAAATTACCTTTGACAAATTAAGTTTCGCTTCTCCTTGGGGATAAATTTGAAAAAGAGTATCTGAGGGAACACACCAAAGACTTCTCTGTCTGGTGGTCTTGTCAGAGCTACTGGGCAGTTGGTCCTCTTTAATTTGATGAGACTTACAGTCTGTAATTTGGTCTCTGCCCATAGGAAATCAAGTCAAGGCAGGAGAAAGTGATAGCAGCCATCTGGAAGGGAATGAATGACAAAGCATCCCACCCACAGAGGGCTTGAAGAAAGCATTACACTGGGACTCAGACTCAGAAAGGAAGAGAAGAGCCTTCATTCTCACTCTGGTGGCATGAAACTTGATCTGCTTCAGAGGAGGAATATTGCTGCCAAATGATTGAATCAATATGTTGATGAAATTTCTCTCACTGCAACAAAAGATCTGAGTTAACTCAATATACAATATAAAGGGAGGAAAGGTTTATATTGGTTTATGGTTTCAAAGTATTCAGTCCATGGTCACTTGGCCCCTATAGCTTTTGAGCCAGTAGAAGGGCAGAGGGGACCTAGCAGAGGAAACAGTTTACCTCATGGAAGCCAGGAAGCAAGGAGTAACAGGACGGGGTTGGGATCTTTTTTTGTTTTGGTTTGGTTTTTGGTACCAGGAATCGAACTCAGGACCTTACACTTGCCAGGCAGGCTCTGTGCCACTAGGCTACATCCCTGGCCCTGGGATCTTAATATCATCTTTAAGGCCATCACTATGTTCTATCTCCTGAAGGTTTCACCACCTTCCAACCTTGCCAGAGACTGGGGACCAAGCCTTCCACATGTGAGCCTTTGGGAAACATGCCAGACCCAAACCATAACAGCCAGCTTCCACTCAACCAACTCACTAGTTACAGGAGGTCTTCATGGCCTCAGTAAAATGCACTGAGCTTCTCACTTCTGCCTCTGGAAGAGGGAGGTCCACACTTCCTAGAACTTGACCACATCTGTCCACAATACTATAGTAATTAAATTAAACAATGAAATATTATTTAAATACATTGACTTTCTGTATCTGAGGGTTCTACACCTGCAAACTGAACTAGTAATTGGTTGAACCCTAAACAATACAGTATAACAACTATTTGTAGATCATTTGCATTCTAGCTGGTGTTATCACTAATCTACATATGATTTAAAGGAGGATGTATGTAAGCTAGATTCAAATACTTTACCACTACATGAAGGAACTTGAAAGTCTGAGGAATTAAGTATCTTCACAAGGTCCTGGAAACAATTCCCTGAAGACACCAAGGGATGACTATGTGATATTCATAAGGAAATGAGTACAAAAATATTATACCTGATAAAACCATGTTAGGCTGGCTTTGAAAAGACTCAACACAATGGGGGCAAAAGTGTCAGAGTGAGGTATGGGAGATGAAACAGTGAACAACCAGGAAAACATTGTAAACATCTGACATTTTCTGCTTTACAAGGTCCCACCAGTTTCTATTCTACTACTTAAAAAAACAACACTGAGAACACTGAAGGTAGTTTATGTAAGACAGAGAAGTGGAAGCTCCTATCAGCTAACTGTTCCTAAAATACCTCAGGCCTGCATTAGAAGACTGGTGAATTATTTAAGGTGAACAGAATGTTTAATATACAGATGCATCCTTTAGCTATGCTTCTCCAACTTTAAAAGACATTTTTAGTTAACCTAGCTTACTACTGTCCAAAAGCAAAGAGTAAGAAAAATGCAATTTCCACAATGAAATACCTAAACATATTCATGAAGCACTTTCATATTTCCATTGATAAATTTGTTATTGGACAAGAAGCTGACTAAAGCAAAAGTACCTGACAGTCATCTGGCAAAAATATATATAGAACTGCCAGCATACTTGAAAAAGTTACAGAAATTTACATGGTTTAAAAACAATTTCCAAGTGTCCCCAAAGAGCTCATTGTTTAATTTTCATATTTTCAAAGCCAATGGAAAATAGGAAAAGGTCTACCACAGTACATCTCAAATTATAAAATCCACCAGCAAAAATATGCTAGACTAACCACATGGTTTCTCCTTTTGTCATTTCTAAAAGGGCCACAACATGACAGGAATCAAACCAAACAAGGAATAAATTCATAACCACAAAGAGAACAAGAGAGAAGTCACAGGAGATGAGAGAGTTCTGTAAATTTATAGAAGAAAGCAGGTCAACAGACACATGACACAACAGGCCCCACTGCTAGAAGGATCTACAGAGGATACAATTCAAGGAAAGATACCAGTGACTAGCATAGCTGCAGAATGACTCAGAGCCAGAAACACCAGGTTGATCAGAATGTAGCTACGAAACTGTGAGATAATTGTGAATCTATAGCCAAATGTGCAGAAACCCTAACAGCCAAGTCCTATCCCAACTGACCTGCCTGGCACTAGGCATTTCTTACCTTTCTCCTACCCCTGTAGGAGTGCACTGGTCATTCAAAAGCAAAAGGAACCAATCTCTATATCTTGGTACCCAGGGACCCAGTAAAAGAGCCAGTTCTCATTAGCAAACCTTGAACTCAGGTCCACCATCCATACATGCACATGAGCCCCTCAAGTGCTACTGCTTCAACTAAGAATCAACCAAGAACAAACATATGTCTGCAAATGAAGATAATTTAGAGGCCAAAAGCAAGGAACATTAAACTATTGGAGACATTAGAAAGTTACTGTGTTCTAAAAACTGATCAGAATGCAATGAAAAGGGACTAGAGAGAAAGGCACTGAAGACTAAATGTAATACCAACATTAAAAGGACATTTAATTGTAGAGTTGAAAAGAAAAGTTGAAATAGCAAGGAGAATGAAGAAGTAAAGAGGAACTTCGGAAAAACAGAAAACAAAAAATGGGAAGGGGGATTACTTCAGTTGCAGAAAGGATATCCAAAGCTCACAAATAAAATGAATGTCCATATTAAGGGAACCACGTTAACACTGAGAAAAATGAATCAAAGGATATGTACACATAACACATCATCACGAAATTTCAGAACACCAGTAATAACTAGAAGGTCCCAAAACATCTCCAAGCAACAATAATTCAACAGAAAAGAAAGATGGTTCTAAGTGACAGTGGAAGGCCAGGGATACAGCTCAGCGGCACAGCACATGCCTAACAAGTGCAAGGTCCTGAGTTTGATTCCTGGTACTAAAAAAAGCACCAAGTGACAGTGGAGCTCTCAGAGGGCAGCCCAGAATGCTAGAAGACAGTGGGGTGGCATCCCAAGGAACACAACATCCAATGAGAATGATACCCACCCCGACTATCAAGCATGTGTGCATGAAACTTACAAGAACTGAAAAAACTCACTCTCTATGCAGCATCCATTGTACCATTTTAATTTCCTCTTATTATCTCTCCTTCCCTGCTGCTTCTAAACTTACTTACCACACACCCTCAGTGATATACTCCTCACTTCCAGAAAAGGGGTTGAAAAGGGACTTCAAATTGACCTGGCATGGGGCATCAGCCTACCTTCAGTTATGTAACAAGCGAAGGCAGATGCACTGCACAACAGATTTTCACATGTAGACAAGATAGACTGCTTTTTATTGGAAGAAGAAACCCGTTGGGCTTTCATAGCCAGAAAAGAGAAGTCAGGGCCCAGCTTCAAGGATGGGCTGGCTCTTCTCAGGGGCCAATGCAGCCGATGACTTTAAGTAGAACCCAATGTTCACTTTACCTTTAACTCCTTGGGTGCTTAAGAATTAGATTAAATCTACTCTGCTTGTGTGCTATAAGTGAAACAAAAAAGCCAGTATCACAACATATTAGTTTATACGATGTTTTACTGAATATTTCAGGCACCTATTGAGAGCTGCTACTCATTAACAACGACAGATTCCTTTCAAAATAGTACTGCTCATTGGCAATGTACCTGGTCACCCAAGTGCTGTAATGAAAATGTAAAACAAGATTAATATTGTGTTCATATCTGATAGCTACACATCTCTTTTGTATCTCATGAAACAAAGAGTAATTATGACTTTCAAATTTTTTATTTAAGAAACACATTTTTGTAAAGCTGTACTTGCCACAGGTAGAAATTTTTCTGATAGGTCTAAGCAGAGTAAATTGAGCAGCTTTCACAAATATTGATCATTATTTTTTAAAGAGAATTAAAAAATAATAAAATAACAGCAACATATAGACAAAAACAAAACAAAGCAAAGACAATAAAAATGATACAGGGTTTCAAAATGAAACGATAGGAATTAACAGTAGTTGTTATATCACATATTATTATCTTCAATGAAGTTGCTCAGATTATCAGATGGAAGAATGCAAGATTGAACTCTTAAAGAGAATAAAAAAAGGAAAACATTAGAAAGGATAAACAGTTTCACTAGACAAGATGGAAGGAATTCACTAATGGTTCTTACACTGCATGTTGTTCTCTTTAAATTAGTTGTTCAGATTACCACATATAGGAATGCAGAATTGGTCAAAAAAAAAAAAAAAGCATTAACTGTAACTTTAAACAGACAATTACACATTAGCAGTACAATTATCCTAGCTATCCTTCTATATACATACATATATATACATATACATACACACACACACACACACACACACACACACATATCTTCCCTTCATTCTTTCCTTCTTTTTCTCCTCTCCCTCATCTGAGCTGTTTCTTCCTTAGAGAATTTCTTTCCCATTCATAGTATCTATTGTACATTTTGGGTTTCATTTGCTCTATCAGGTTCTTCCACTAGGGAGATAATATGATGTTTATACATGTGAGTCCAATTTATTTCACTTATAGTATGGTCTCTAGTTGCATCCATTTACCTACACATGACTCAAGTTTATCTTCTTTATAGCTGAGTAATACCCCATTGGATAACAATACCACATCTTTTTTACCGATTCCTCAGCTGGTGGGCATCTGGGTTGCTTTCAAGATTTAGCGATGACAAACTATGCTGCTATAAACATGGGTGCACATATACCACTGTGGTATTTCGTTTTTAATTCTTCAGGGAAACTACCCAGAAGGGAACTAGCTGGGTTAGGTGGGTCTTCTAATTCTAGTTTTGTGAGGAATCTCCAAACTGATTTCCACAGTGGTTTCACCAATTTACACTCCCACCAGCAGTGGAGAAGGGTTCCTTTTTCTTCACAGCCTCTCCAGCATTTGTTATTGGTTGATTTCTATTTTTTTTTTTTTTCATGGTACCAGGAATTAAACTCATGACCTCACACTTGCAAGGCAGGCACTGTGCCACTGAGCTATATCCTTACCCCATTGGTTGATTTCTTCATAGCCATTCTTTCTGGGGTGAGATGGAATCTCAGTGTTGTTCTAAACTGCATTTCTTGAATGACTACTGATGTTGAATGAACATTTTTTTCATATATTCATTTGCCATTAGTATTTCTTCATCTGAAAAGTGTGTTTCATCTCAGAAGTCCATTTTGGGATTTGGTCTTTCAATTTCTGGGGGCCTTATTTTTTTAAATCTTTATATGTTCTAGATAGAAGTCCTTTTCTGAAGGACAGTTGGCTAAAATTTTTTCCCAATTTGTGGGTTTTCATTTGATCCTGTTAGTGAGTTTTTTGGATGTGCAAAAACTTTTCAGTAAGATGAGATCCTAGTTGTTGAATCTTCAAAGTATTTCTCATGTAGTGTGGTTTATGTTCAGAAATTCTCTGCCTACCCCTATGTCTTTAAGATTTCTACCTACTTTCTCTGCCAGTAGATTTAGTTTTTCTATTTTAATATTTAGATCTTTGATTCATTTTGAGTTAGTTTAGTGCATAGTGACAGACATAGGTCTAGTGTTAGTCTTCAGCATGTGGTGAGCTAGTTTTTTGAGCACCATTTATTAAAGAGGTTCTCTTTCTTCCAGTGAACATGTTGGCCCCTTTGTCAAAGACAAAGTAGTT